CTTCCTTCCTTCCTTCCTTCCTTCCTTCCTTCCTTCCTTCCTTCCTTCCTTCCTTCCTTCCTTCCTTCCTTCCTTCCTTCCTTCCTTCCTTCCTTCCTTCCTTCCTTTTCTTCTTCCTTTTTTTCTTTCAAGGATTTGCAGATTTAATACTTTCCAGTTTGTTTCTTGCTTAGGTCTAAATGTCATTTGCCCTTCTGGTGAGGAGTTTTAAATACAGTTCTTTTTATGATGACTAACCATATTTCTTGCAGTCAAGTAATGAGTAGCATAGGTTCTAGCTATTAGATCAAAGGACTTTTATTCTATGAAGATTCCACCTGAAATTGCTGTGTCTGAGTCCATTTTCCTCTGTCAAAACTGCCTTTAAAGGGTGACTCGAAATATTTAAATCCAGTGTAAGTGGGGTTTTAAAATGCTATGGTTCAAAACAGGAGAAGGAGCCAGATAGTTTTTCAATCCTTACTTATACTGTATTTCTCCATTAAAAATGTGGTGGATTTGCCTGATCTCTCATTCTCTGCAATGGCTTGGAAATGTTGACAGATCTGTAACTGCTTTTATAAAAAGGCAGAACGTCACAAAACTCAGCATGAATGTTTCTGGGTGGTCTGGTTGTCCTCAGCCACAGCTTTCTTTTTCTTCAGTGGAAAGTCCTTTCCCGGCAACTGTGCAACTGAAGCAAATTGCCTGCTGTTGGAACAGCTCCCCTTTTGAGGGGCTCAAACTCAGATTGTCAGCCTTCAGTGTATCCCTGGCTATTTGTATGTGTACCAGTTCTAATTCAAATGTTTGGTATGTGCTAAGGTATCCTGCAATTAAAGCAAATAGCAGTTATTCTGGTTTGCTGCTTGCACAGCCTCACTGGGAATGTGTGTATCCTGTAGTCAAAGCTGATGCTCCCAAATATATGCATAGCCTAGCTTTATACAGGTTAGATCAGAAACTTGCATCGTCATGGAGATCAGTGCTAACTACAAACATACCTGGGAATTTTTATTCATTTACCAAAGCTTCCCAGGCATGTTTGGAGTCAGCAATGAGCTCCATACCTCCATGACTGCAGGTAAACAGACACCAGGTCAATGAGATTGGTGCTGCCGTCACTGCACTGTCGGGTCCTGTTTGGACTGCAGTATGGAAATATATGTAAATGTCTTCACTATCCTTCTTGGGACTAGGTTATTATATGGCTCCTTGGAAAAGTAGATCAAATTCTGTCTTAAACCTGTCTAGGTTTTTACTTTCTCCTTGTACAGGAGAACTCTTTCAGACCTGTATATCTGAGTGAAGACAAGCATCTGTAACTCTGATACTGAATTTATACTGTGGCTGTTATTTCACCTGGTCATAAAGATGATCTGATAAGATAAAAAGAATGGAAACATCTCCAGAGAGTGACTGTTTGGAGACTTATGGATCATTCTGTTAAAATCATGTTGTGTTCCTGATGGGTAGACTAGTTTCACTTTTATTCTCAGTGGAATTTCTCTTCATTTTTCTGGACATTTTAGGTATGGTGTGGAATGTCATCAGCCTGCCATCATTAACATGAGCCAAGGATAGATATATGTGTATAAATATATGTATATATATTTATGATACACAGATCATCTAAGTGCAATCACATGGCATATGAGGAACAAACAGAGGATCAGGCTAGCCAGCATGGGCTCTTGAAGGGCAGGTCCTTCTTAACAAACCTGACCTCCTTCTAGAACAAGGTAACCCACTAGTGGATGAAAGAAAGGCTGTGGACAGAGACATTAGAAGGGCTTTTACTACTGTCTCCTGCAGCATTTTCCTGGAAAAGCTAGCAGTTCATGGCTTAGATAAGTGTAGTCTTTTCTGGGTAAAAACTGGCTGGATGACCAGGTCCAGAGAGTCACAAATTGAGTGACATCGAGAGTCAATGACTCCCTGATCCTCAAAGATTGTAACTCACAGGGTCACTGCCTCTGAATAAGATCGACATGAGCTAGACAGAGGAGTTACCAGCCAGCACAGTTCCCAGATACATTAAATGCTCTGTTAAGTATCTTCCTTCAGATAAAATGAAGGGATTTTCACTTTTAAGCAGGTTAATACCCATCAGGTCATGACAGAATTACTTGGCAGAACAGAAGCTTCACATTTTAGCTGACTGAAATACATTTGTCACTAGATAAATAAGAACTTTTATTATGCAGGACAGATTGTCCTTTAACCTTCTCAAATACAAACATGGAGGAAAAATGGTTGCAAAGGAGAAAAAAACACAACCTAGGGAGTATTTTTAATTTGTGTTAATAAATAAAAAACACTACGCTTGAACAACAACAAAGGGACATTTAAATAAATCACAGAAAAGTTGTGTATATCTGTAAATAATTGATTACTCATTTGCAGGAAAAAAAAGGTATAAGATTTAGCAGTTTATTTACATGACCAGCGGGTGGCCATTTTTATTCTTCCCATCAGTTCAGGGGGTTTATTTTCTTTAGAGATCTTGGCTATGCA